AAGCAAAAAAGAAAAATTATTCATCACTTCGAAAGTGCGGTGACTCTAACACTCTTTAAAAAAATTTCATAGTGTGTCACCACACATACCTTACATCCCATGTGCAGCGTCATTGGTTTAAAAAAAAAAAAAAAAAAAAATTAGCCAGTTGCTGCACATAGGAAGTGCGGCGATGCTAGATTAAGAAACAACTATGACAAAGCCCCAATTTTGTTTTTTTTCAGCATTATTTTGAGACATTTGACATAAGTAACTCTTCCTTTTTCTCTACAGATCATTTCCTCTCCAAACATCCTGGTAATGATCCTATGGTTTTATTAGAGGCAGTTTAGCTCAATTGCAAGATAAAACTCAGTGACAAAGTGCAGCACCTTAGGCTGGCTTTGGCCTAGCTTACCTTCAAGGAGTTTCTTCCTACTTTCTGAGTTTAAATTTGCCTCTAATACACCTATACAAACAGGAAAAAAAATGCAAAATTGAATATGTGCCAGCAAAAGTTAGAAAAGGTATCCTGATGGTGGGTATACTAGCCAAAAGGTATCCTAAAGGTGCTTAATAGAGGGCTCCACTAACAGAGCAAAGGACCTTTAATGATTCTGAAACATATAAGCTCTAACAGCCCTGTCATCGTGCTACCTTCCATGAAGCATATGACATTTTATGATTCTGGTATACGTAACCTCTAATTGAGCTACCTTTTGTGAGGATTAGTGATGCCCTGGATGTATAGGTTGACTTTCCAACTGTAACCTTGATAATTCAACTTTATAACTTGAACCAGCACAATTTTGCAGCAAGCGCAACCTTTCTAAGCATGAGTTTGGTCACCAATCTATGACAAAGAAAGGCAGTAGCTATCAGAATTATCTTACCAATGGAAATGATGTCAACCTACTGATTGTAGTCAGGGAAAAATAGGAATAAACGGCATCAATTGGTTAAATTTTACAAAAGACCTTGACAGAAAATTCAGGGCTCAAACTCTCAAGCATTAACTAGAAAAGAGAAAGTTCAAGCAAGCAGATTTGCCAACCTCCATTGAAACTCGATTCATGGTTCTTCAGAGTTCTGCAAGATTTTTGGCTGTCAATATTCTTTAGAATTCTCAGACTCAATCAAAATTTCTAACTTGAAATTTTGAAATTTCAGCTGGGCCATCAAGGATACTTAGAAGACTCAGACTCAATGAAATTTTCATATTTCATCTGATTTGTTTATTCACTTGTTTCTTTGTATCATGAATCAGGCTAAGCATCCATAACTAGTTTGAACTAGCTTTGATACTGCAGTACTACAGCATAGGAATTAAATTATCAGTCTAAGTTGAAATGGGAAACACTCTTTCTGTTCTGGAAACAAATATTTTCCTAGAAGACACCATCCATTCAGCTCCAGAAAAGTTTCATGTAGTGCTAGAATTCTTCAGCTAGATTGGGAGAGCAAGATGCATCTAATAGCAGGTGTAAAGCAGCTCCATGAGATTTATTAAATTTTATTCACCTTAGCTCATCTGTCTAAATTTTCTGCAGTCCTGATTATGGAAACCCCAGAAGGCCTTCAATTCAAGTTAAAATCACTTACAAAAAGAAAAGGAAATGCTTGCTGAGCATTACATTGTAACATCCAGCAAATAAATTCAATTTTTTAATAGCATATCCAAGGCCTTAGGAAGGTGACAAAAAGGAGACTAAAGAACTCCCAAAGCACCAAAAGCAGTCAGAGTAGCATCTTTTGGAAATTTAAGCATGCAGGCCACATAAGAGATAAAAAATCTGGATGCTCATTTAGGACAATGAAAGCTTCAAAAGAAACCATATGAACAAGTAGTTGGGGTTCCAAAAGTTGTTGTACACAGATAAACCAGATGATCTCATACAGACATAAAATGATCCTCAAGCCAAAAGATCACTAGGGATAAAGAAATTTAAGAAGTGGACACCAACGTCAGCAACTTGTATCTGGAACTTATATTATGATATTCATTGTCCAGATCTAACCATGAGGTGTAAAGGATGAGAAATGCACTCACAAATGCAATGAACTAACAGTCTTTGCTCCTCTTTGGAGCGTAATGTCGTAGGTACGATCACAAAGGTCTTGAAGAAATAATTCCAAAGCCTTGGCTGCATTATAATCAAAAGAGCAGAAGTAATGAATTCCCAAAGATGAACGGAAAAGGACTCATAGTTAAAATCGTTAACCAGTAACAGCAATCATACAAACTAAAACAGGTACAGCCATGGCTATTTTCCCAACATCTTCATCAGCTTGCATAATTTTTTTTATCCGGGCCTGCAAAGTAGAATTTCATGAGATAAAGCAAATGTACTTGAGAAAATCTCAAATAAGATTTTGCCAAAAAAAGCAAAAAGTTCTTCTCATTTAAAAGATTAAAGAGTCAAATTTTATCACCAGAGTTGACGTATTAACTTTGCCATTTCATAGTAGACAAAGAACTGGTAGCAGAGGCTAAGCCTAAGCCAATTCCAACTCCAGTAATAAAACAAAAGCAAAGGCATACTAGCCACTCATGATTTGAATGGGCAGTCATACATTGATCTCAATATGAACAGCAGCAAGCACAGTCCATAAGCTGATAATTAGATAAAGCCAAGCAAAATCCCAAAAGGGTCCTTGGCAAATGGCAATATCTAGCAGACTATTGAAATGTGCACAGTGATTCTTCACAAATCATATATAGTTCACAACAAGACATGTAATTGCCAGCCTGCCAAATCACAATAGAAGCATATTGTCCATTTTCACATTGAGAAATGCTTGCATGGATATTTTTACACTTTACACAACGGTTTCAAAATACACATGCACCGATTTTGCAATTATAGCAGATGTCAAGACCCATGTCCAAAGCATGGTCTTCCCTTAATTCAAAACATGAAACTTTTAACTCCCATCATTATCCAGAATGCAAAAAAAGGTGTCCTTACCCATGCCAACCCTGTAACTTTTATAGCTCTCAATGTTTATAGTAAAAAATCTTGACAGACTTGGTGAAAGAAAAAGGTAATTTCCCATGAAAGAAAGATAAATCTTTCTTTGGTCCTTCAAAAGACCCTATATAAAAGGCCTCAAATAAAATATTCCAGCACCAAGCTATGGGCAAAAAACCAAGGTCATTAAGAGATTTTTTTTCTGCACTACCATTTAGCATGAAAAGAATGGACTTATAATTTATGCATTCACGTATTTATTCCCATAATCAGTTATCTAGCCCATAATTCTCATTATCTTGGACATAATTTCAGATTTTTTTCGACTGTATGATAATTTAGAGGTTGCAAACCTAGGAGCAGTAATACTTCCATTTATTACAGTAAATGAAATGGTTTCAGTAATGATTTTCTTTCAGGAGCTTTTCTGTTGCCGTTCTTTGAAAAGTTTTTAAAAGAATTTACCGATGCCACATGTTGGATAAACATTCATGTGAGACAAAAATGTCGTCACAAAAACTCTTTGATAAATTACTTCCAACTAAACAAGCTAAGTTTAAATAAAGAACTGAACTTTGATGCCGGCTAATGAGAAACCTGGTAAACTTTAAAATTCAGAAACCAGCACATAAACCATGGCAATTTCAGATAATCCAGAATCAGCAGGTGCTCAAATTTCACCCAAAAAAGAAAAGAAAAAAGGATCGCCAACAACTATAATTTTCAGTAACCAAATAAATTTGCAAATTTCTATCCATACTTCAGAAATTCCACTTGGAAAAATCGAGTGGTAATGATTTCAAAGTCACACCTATCCCATAAACCCATTTCAGAATACCCCTAAAAATGACTCAAATAGATAACAAAAGGAAAAAGAGAAATGAACTTCAGTCACATCACAATCTAAGACATAAACAACACATAAAATCGGACAAAAGAACCCAATTAAAAGAACAGAAAAAAGACAAAAGACAAAAAAAAAAGCAAACTTACAGCAGGGAAGCGGGTATCAAGTTTCTTCCTCATGGCTTTTATCAGATTTGGGCCATTCTTGTATTAAAGATACAGTGATAAAATAGCAAGCAAACTAAAGAGAGAGAATCTATCTAATCCAAATCCAAAATCTAATCACAAAAATCAAACCATTTTACTAATTCAAGAAAAAGGAGGGAGAGACAGAGAAGAAGAAGAAGAAGAAGAAGAATATTCAGAAAGACACAATCTTTGCTGCCGTAATCATTGACAGGGAAGGGGGCGAGAGAAGTCAACAGTACTAAGTATTTCAGATCCGTTGAGAAGGAAGATGCGATATTTTGTTTATTTTATTTAATATTATTTTGTGGAGATTTCTCTATATGATCCCTCACATTAGCAACTTGTACTGGTTTTAGTCCTACATTTTTTCAAATGTTGCACTATTGTCCAAACATATTCAAAATGGCACAATTTGGTCCCATGCCGGTCCATCATCTACCTATCTACCTATACAGTAAAAGCAAGAATGAGTTTGTTAAGATGGATGGTTGTTGTGCTGATGTGGCTATGTTTTATTGGCTGGCGGGTGGTCGTCATTCACGCGGGAGTCACGTGCTTTCGGTAGGAGAAGAGGTGGAATTCTTGTTGTTGTCCGAGGAGTTTTGATTAAATTTGTTTCCAAATACCGGTCCATTTCTTTGGCTCTCCATGTGCGTGTGTCTTCTGAATACTTTTCTGATGGGATCATGACCACTTCAATTTACGGGGCTCAAGGTAACGACTGCAATCAATCTATTCCCACCTTTTCTTCTCTCGCCTTTTGACAAATAGTTATACTGAGTGAACAAGTTTCCTCAATGTTATCCTTTTTTTTTTTGTACTTTATTGTGTGATCTTCCATCCCTCTCTCCGGAATCGATCAATTACAATTTAACACCCACTTCTTCTCATTTTCGCAATCTTTTCCGGGTAGCTTCCAGATCTGCTAGATTCTCTTGTAAGTTCTTCTTCGTCAATAAATATTATTGGTGGATTCTGCTTTCCCTAATTTTTCCTTTTGCAATTAATTCTCTCCCAATGCTTTCACTTTGACTGCCAAGATCAACCCAAAAAAAATTACGTCAAATCATTCTGGAGGGGAAACGAAAAGAAATTAAGCATTTGCATGGTAATCGAGTGACTTTTAAGGTTAGCTTCCTATTATTTTGTAGATATTTCTTGGCTGTGAATTTTTCTTTTTCATTTTTAAAATTTTATGACTATTAGGTATCATTTGGTGATTATTTTGTTTTTTGGTTTCTTTGGTTTCTTTTGTGTGCATTATGACTAGTAAAGAAATAGAGGAGTTCACAAAGAGAACTACACGCAGTTGGTTTCTTCAGGTTGTTTATTGCTTGGTGTGGTTATACGGTAGTCTTTAAAAGATTTTTTTTTTAGGGTTTTCTTGTCTAACTTTATATTTATTGTGATATTGCAGGTTCAGATATGGAAAATCTTTTGCAATGTGTCTTGCCTACGGTTTTTCATATAAATACTCCAAGAAGATTATTCTCATTGCTTAAAGGGTTTGTTCTTTCCTCCCCTGCCTAAACTTCTCTAGCCTTTTTTCCTTTTTGTTCTCCGGTTTAGTTGTCTAATATTGTGGCTTGTTGTGGTTTTTTTTTCTTTGTAGGATAATAAGGTTGCTCCAGATCTTCTCTCTCTGCTTGATCCTCTTTAGCTCCAGAAGCAAGGAAATTTGGAGAATCTATCTCCAAACTATCTGGTTTGTTGTTGCCTCTTAATCTTTATTTCCTTTCTATATTTATTGCTTTTATTCCCCAAAAATTTTCACCTGGTTAATATCTAAATTTTGCCTATATTGTTCCTTATTCCTTTATCCATGCTTTCTCACAAGACAGATGCAGCCAAGAGAAGATCATCACCGAGAAACATTGAGGGCGATTTTGCTTCCTTCGGTTTCGTCTTTCTTCATCTCAGTTTTCTCTATTTTATTTTTTCATTTTTTTAACTTTTGTACTCTTTTTTAAGTAGTTTCTATGTTACTTGTTTCTTTCTTTTGGGTCTCTAGAGCCTGTTATACAAACTTGTATGATATTTATTATAGATGGAAAAATTACTTGGTAGAGAAACTGAAGGAATAGGTTGTCCAGAAACTCTGGAAAATGGAGTTTTCATGGCTCATCTGATGGCTTTTTTTTTTTTTTTGGTTTGTTATGTGCAGGAGTACGTTCAATTATTGACTCACAAAAGACTATCCATATGGTAACCAACCCAAAGTCTCCATTTGCAGAGATCAAATTTCATGTCAATGACGGTTAAAAACTTTAGTTATTTTTTTTGTCTTTATTTTTGAGAAAACTATTCTTCTTATTTTTTTTCCCTTGTGAAGTTTTGGTTCTCATTTTCCGAAGAGTGTATATGGATTCTTTAAAACAAAAGAAAAAAAATACTTTTGTGTTTTCTTAGTTTTTTTTTCAACAAACATTGTGTTTTCTTAGTTGCTGATAAAAGCATTGAAACTGATCAAGGAGCCATTAGTTGAGATAGTCGTTTTAAGTACATGTTCCCTATATATTTGTATATGCATGCATCTTGCCTGCCCTCCTTCTTTTACACGAGTACCTTTTATTTTAGTTTTACAAGAATACCATTTTTTGGTTAAATTTTTGTTTATTTTGTTCCTAGAATATTGGTTTGAGTTCATGGGGATAACATTTTGAGAATATAAAGTGAATATAGAGTAAATATGGCAGATTGAGTATTAGCCTGTTATTGCAGTGAAATTTCTTACCATCTACTGCCATTTAAGTGGTTTACTACATGTTTCTTGCTTATTTAGACTTTACCTTTCGTGAAAATGATTTCAATGTTTATGGCAATTAAAAGTTTGGTGTGCTAATATGTTGGTCTTTCCAGATTCTTTATATTCCTTGAAAAGGTAAAGAGAATTTTTTGCAGCTAAAATAACAAAAAGATGTTAGGATTACTTTGCATTTAGATCCTATTTTCTACAGGCATCTTCTTTTTATTTTACTTTTGGTTATGTTATTAATTTTTTTATTCTTTTATGTTATTAATTTACTTTGTTCATGTTAAAGGTGCAAATGATTGAAGATGCAGTCACTCTGAAACCAGTTCATGGAATAACAAACTTTGTAAGTTAAAAATGCAGTCCTTTCTTGTTTTTTTTTATCTTGCTTTTGTGTTGAGCATGGTCATTATTAGTTGGTTTATTCTTAATTTCAGCCTTTCAGTCCTTCACTATTTGCATACCATTAATTCATTGTCTTGGAATCATAAATACTACTTTGTTTGCTACAGAAGGTTTTTTTAGGTCTCTTATTTTATTTAATTATCTTTTATTACAGCAAGAAACGTGAAGAATTATTCAAATTTTACTGAGGAAAAAAATGTTTAAGTGGGCAATTTTTTGTAGGCTTTACTCTTCATATATGTATTGATTTGCTCAATGGTTTTCTGCTCAAATTTTTTGTCAAGAGAGGGAAGAAAGAAAAAATGGTGGTTAATTCTTACTTTTAAGCATTAGGGGGGGGGGGTATACGACTACGCGAAACTTAATACTTATTGAATTTGTTGTTGACCATTACGCTGTTATTGTAAGAAAACTTTTAAGAATTATTGCCATCCAAGAGCATTCAAGAGGTTTACTCTATATTTCTTGCTCATTTAGACTGTCTATATTGTTTGGGTAAGATAGCATATGGATACGTCTGACAACACATTGTCATGCCTTAGGTAGTGGACATTTGTGGTGTGCATGGAATCACCATTGCCAAGATTGCTTATTTTGTAAATTATAACGATTTGTTTACATATTTAAATTTGTGAAATTTACTTTACGGGATTTATTCCTCATCTCACCATTAAATGGTTAAATGGAATCTTTTGAAAGTACAAATAGAGCTTCATGAAAACAAGAAACTAGATTCGTGCATACTTTTGGTGAAAATGGAACAATTTGGTTTGAAGGCAAGATTAAGGAATCTTTGATTTTTCTTTGTATTAGCTTCTCACAGTTGCAACAAATTTCTAATGGCCTTGCTTTGATTATGTTCAGGTTCCCATTTTAAACAACAGGAGAAATGGGACAAAAAAAAAAGCCATGAAAAGAAGCAGGGAGGGGAAAAATGGATCTTCATCAGAACATGTATGCTTTTGTTTTCACTTTTTTTGTGAAATTTAGGCTGGTTCTGTAAGTATTTTTTTGTTTAATTTTTCCCCTGATTAGAAGGAGAAGATGAGAAGAAGCACAAGTAGAAGAAGAGAAAAGTATGGATCTTCAGCCTAATCAGGTCTATAAGTTTCTTTTTATTTTAATTTAAGCAGTTTTTGTAAGGTTTTATTTTAGTTCAAAATACATTTTTATCTGAGTTTTTGAAATGAAAATGAGGTGAAGCAGATGAAGGGAAAGAACACATCTTTGGTTTGATTCAATGCTGTAAGTTTTTTCTGTTACTTTTTCTTTGTAACTTGAGCAGTTTTCTGAGTTTTTTTCTTGTTTGCCTTTTTTTTATTTCTGACTTTCTATTATTGATTCTGAAGCAAAAAAAAAAAGAAGAAATAATAAAATTACATAGTCCTAAGCGATTTTTTTTTTGGGAAAATTTTTTGTGTGAGTTGCATTTATGGTTGTAGAATTAGTTATTAGAATGATAGAAAAATTGGATTTTGATCGACTCATTATAGATGGTAAGAGCTTGAAAGTAAAATTGGATTTCTACTATTGCTTTAGGTAGAATAATTTCAAATGTATTACACTTTGAATATGTCTGAAGATCTATGTTTTATTTGATTGAACTGTTCCACTGATGATGCATTATCCTGCTGGGTTTAATTATTCTTGCTGCCTTTGGTTAAGATTGTCTTTGTTGCTTTTTCGGTTCTTGAGATATTCCTTTTCTTTTGTTTAGAAACATTAAATTACCTCTCGTGCACTTGAAGTGTGAAGATGCTCATGGGTTATTTGCATTAATATCATCAAGAAATTTTGTCAGATCTCATTGCTTTTGGTTTCTCCTGAGGTACTGTCTTGTCCTTTTACTTATTTATTTGCTTATTTTGACTTTCAGACTATTATTATAGGTTGGTATAAATTGCTTTTTTTTTTTTTTTTCCAAATTTTGATGTTTCTGATCAGAATTAAGTGTTCCATAGAAATTCAAATTCCTATGATATTTTCTTTAGGATTTTTTTTTTTCACATGTTTGGTAATCTGGTTTATGACATTGCTTCTTGTCTATAACTTTTAACTTGGAGTTTTGTCTATAGAGAGTTTTTCTAAACCCATCGTTTACTGCTGGATAGGTGTTTGCTTTCGGCCTTTCACGGGAACGAAAGGAGAATCTGAATGAAGCTGGAGCTCTCTGATGCTATTAGTCATTGAAACTCTAGAATCATTTTGCTTGTGGCCAATTAGAAATACTTTTTTCTTTTCTTTGTCAATTTGTTCAATTGGCACTGGTATAGGTTTAGTCTCACTAAGTAGATTTTCTCTTTATACTGCATGTATATACATTTTATTATTCGTTTGAATATATTGTAAAAGAACTTATTGCTGTTAAATATTCTTTTCTAGGAACTGACAACTTGATTTGTGGTTTTTATCAACAAAAAACAAACTTATATCTATTAAATGCCTTTTTTAGGAACTAACAACTCGCTTTGTGTATTTCTTCAGGCTATATTTTTTCCCCTTCTCCACCATTACATGTGTCTTTTTTTATTTCTATTTTCATTCTATGCAAAAGTAAGGAGCATCTTAATGATCTTAGTAGTCTACTCATTGTATTGTCTTGCATTTCCTTAATAGATTATTCATATTCACTGCTTAATAAAACTACAAAAATAGAATGGCAAAGTTTTTGGTGTATCTTTTTGTAACTTTTCATACTTAATATTTGAATTTGAATCATTGGGCATTTATGGGCAACCTTGAAAATTACACCGCGCATCACGTGGTGTTCTCCTCCTAGTTGTTAACAAATATAGAATGCATCCGTACCATAAGATAAACCAAAAGTCTAAGACGCCCGTAAGCCATTGTTCCCGTCTATTAAAGTTAATAAATTTTAGCACTTTTTGTAGATTTTGTAATTCTAATATCTAGACCCATTGTTTTTTTATCTTTATTCAATCTATTGCACACATGAGAGCTTTTCTATGCTTTGCTTAGCACTAGAAGTTGCACTTGCCTTGCCTTCATTAATAGAGGGGTGAACCTATGAAAGAAAAGTTATATGAGAAACTTTCTATTAATGTAGGCTCCGTTTGATAAGTGAATTTTTTGGAAATTTGTCTAAAACTTTACTGTAGAAGTTGTAAATATTTTTTGAAGTATGTAAATTTTTGAATATTTTAAAATGTATAATTTAAAATTTTTGAGAAATTTTTTAAAATTACTGTAGTTAAAATTGTTTAAAAAACTTATAGCAGACAAACTTGATCAAAAACTTACTTGCCAAACAAGACAGTAGACTTTCCTCCCTCTTGATTTATGGAATGTGATTTGAAATTTTGAGATACAAAAGGAGTCTACATGCCTTGAGCAAAAAAAATCAATAGAATATAGCACAAGATCGATTTTTATTGCTATCATAAGATTGACTTGTGAATAAAGCTAATTCTAATGGGAAAAAAAAAGAGAAAGAAACAAAGAAAAAGCAGTACTCATCTGAAAAGTGAAAGTTCACTTAGTTGAAGGTAGGGACTTTGGAATTACTTTACTATTAAAAAGGGAAAGAGACAACCTATCTTACAAATAATAAGAAAATTGGCATAAGGTGGCTTGCTATTATGCTAGGAATAAAGAGATTGTGATTGAGAAAATCATTTGTTTGAGTAAAAATAATCCTTACTTTTTATCAAATTATAATATATTAATCAAATAAAACAAGATTGTTGGTAAACCTCATGTTTTATCAAATTATAATATATTAATCAGCTAAACAAGGCTACATGGAACTTTTTTTATCAAAGAATAATTAGAAAACAATTTTTGGAATAAATTAAGAAAATTAGTTACAAGCTAACTAGAAAAACAAAGATCATATAAAAAGTCAATAAGAGTCTCTAGTTAGCTACACTAATAAAGAATAAATTTTTGAATTAATCATTAAAAGTAATCCAAAGCAAATCATAAACGCATAAATATAATCGTACTCGATATTCGAACCGTTTATACCCCCAATCACAAAGAAGCCCTTTTCGAAGTAAATATAATATACCACCACACTTCACGAAGTAAATATAACACACCACCGCCGCTGTTGCGTACCTACACCCTCGTAAAGGTTTCAGATTATCAAATTACAGGTACGAGCTACTTCAGAAATAACAGCTCCATCTTCCACTACAGTTAATTCCCATTATAACGTAATATCAATGTTTTTGAAGTATACACTAGATCAATGAACAGAGACCCCTATTTTAAAAAGACAAACTTGTACTTCACCAGTTTGCTTTGAGGAACACCACCCCAAAACAAAACCATGGATTCCCAAAAAGAATAGGAAGAAAACAACATGAGCTACAGTATAGGCATAGTGATGAGCAGATATTGACCAAGAAAGTCGTAGCTTAAATAACATACTAGTATTTGTGTTTAGACGACTAAAAATGGAACAGATAAATTAGTCTCTATGAACAAAATTGCCAATGAAACTCAAGGTTCCACCTGATTCATACTTCAAACCTGCCTAGTAGAATCATGGCAGGTTGTCAAATCTAAATACCAATATACCTAGCGACAAAAATATGTTACATCTGTGAAAGGCGACTCGACAATTATTTCTGCACTTCAGCAGCTGGCTCTACTACCTCTGCCTCAATTGTCTCTGGGACATAAGTTGAGGAGGTCGTTTGCTGTTTGAACTCGCCAGCAGATGTTCCCCATTTTGCAGAAAGAGCCATGCTCATCATTTCGTAGATCTTTCCCCCAAGCTGTGCAGGATTTTCAGGCTGCATCCAATCACAAAGGCAGAATTGAAAACAGGTCTTCTAAGGGTGGGGGAAAAAAAGACACCATAATAAGGGTAACAGTGGTGTTTCTTGTCAATACCAAACACCTTCAGATTTTTGAACTACATTTTCAACCACCAGCGAAACCAACAAGATAGATCAAACATCTCGCACGAGAAATTAATATCTAATGTCAAGATTAAATAAAAACCAAGAATCACTGGATATTTCACATTACACATATAATCATAAGCGTAGAAGTTTAATTATACAAGAAAACAAATGTTACATTCTAAGTAGCAAATGTTTCCTGTTTTGATCACATTTCAATTTCTGAAGCAGAAAATCAATTTGGGACATCAAGAAAAATGGGCGGACAACAATCATGGGAAGGAGGGATCACGCAGAATAGGCTCACAAGAGAGAATATGACGTCATATGCAGTATGAGAGAACCTGATCATATCAGTTTTGGATCACCTATTAAGTCATTATTCTTTCTTTAGATCCCATGTGTATCTTTAAAATGGAAATGTGTCATACCTAATGGGCTAAGTAGATCACATCACTGGTGCATAAACTAGAATGATCAATACCTAGTGGGCTAAGTATGCCCCAAAGGAACCTATCCTACAGGTTATTGAGGTATTGTATGTCAAAATGTCAGTCACCACGAATACACGATGCCATACTAGCTTGCTAAAGCCAAAAACAAACTAGACTGAAAAATGCCAAACTGCCTCAGCAAAATTCTTTAAGCACCCAAGCTTGATGCATATTGTGACAAAACTGCCTTCGGCATTATCAGTGAAGCACATTCAGATACCTTCTGGGCTTCAATTAAGGTGCGTCTACCCCAATTACAACTTGACATCATTTCTAGTCCAATACTTTAAAGCCAAAACCAAAATGTTTTACTATAATATTCCAAGAGAACAATTTCCACTGAAAATAAGTTAATAATTACTTACAGTGAAACCACTTGAAACAGCAGCAGTATCATATAACAGATCAACAGCTCTCAATGCTTCTTCATCATTTGGGTTACTCTGACATGCAGCCTGCAATATTCAGAAATTAGCAAGATCAGGAAAAAAAATGTCTTTTGAGTAGATGCATGATCAAAATAAGAAAGTGTTTAAACCGTTCAACAAAGTTAGCTTTGTCCAACAAATTCTCATACATTTAATGTCTTGATGATTGGATGTTCAGGATTTATTTCAAAGATTCTCCTGCTTCTCATAAAGTCCAAGCTGGAGGAATCACCCATAGTTTGTGCTTTCATTAGCCTGCAAATAGATGAAATCACTTAACAAGTTACAAAACTAAACTAACTTAAAAAAAATGTCAGCACTGGAAGAAAAATTAACCTAAGTTACCTCTCCATATTGGCAGACCAACCAAACTTTGCCGACACAAGAACACAAGGTGACGTGCTCAAGCGATTTGAGATCTGGACTCCTGCAACTTTCTCACCCAGCCGTTTCTTTATCCAGTCACAAATTTGACCAAATTCCTGCTTCATCTCTTTTTCCTTCTCCTCATTTTTCTCACCTAAAAGTATTTAAACATTTAAGATACCAAACACTCTACGTCAACCATAGAATACAAAATGTGGAACAAATTAAGCTAAATTTCAATTAAAACAAAGAACAAATTAAATGCCAAAAACGTACATAAGACACTCAGTTAAGAGAAAAAAGGATAAATTAGATTATCTAGATTTCCAGTTAAACAAAGATGAATAGAATGCCAAAAAAAATAGAAGAAAAAAAGAAAAGGTAAAATATCTAATTAAGAGAAAAAAGGATCAATTTCCAGGAAAACAAGTATCATGTAACCATATTCATTGAAGAATTACATATTGCTTACTAAAAAGTTCATACAAAAGTAAAGTTAACCTAGCCAAAGTAAACAGTTAACCAGCATTCATATTGCCACCCTAAGTAAACCAAAAGTTAAATGAGAATATTAAAATACACTAACCTAGATCCAAATCTTCTTTGCTGATGTCAACAAACTGTTTATCCTTGAATTCTTTAAGATTTTGGACAGCAACCTCATCAATAGGATCAACTAAGAATAACACCTACAAACAAGAAAGTGCATAATACCATGAAGCAAGAACACTTCTGCAAATAAATAAATAGATAAATATATTCAAAGCAAGAGCTCATACTTCAAGATCCTTTTCAAGAAGTTTCTCCAAGAAAGGGGTGTTCCTTGCACTATTTACACTGTCAGCAGCAATGTAATAAATGTTCTTCTGCTCTGGCTTCATGTTGTCAACATACTCGTCCAGGCTTATTGGAACATCCTCACTCTGAGATGAGAAGAATCGCAAGAGTGGCGCAAGGCGCTTGTGATTTTCTTTATCATCAAGGATGCCCAGTTTAATGTGTTTGCCAAAGTTCTCCCAGAACTTATCATAATCCTGTTCAAAGAATGGTAGAGCTAAATCAACAAAGTTTGGGGGAAGATTAAAAGACAAAAGAAAAAAGAAAACAAAGTCTCAAACAAAAGATACAAGTTGTAGTTCACTTTTGGAG